CCAAGGAGTTTTAGCTTGAATTCATTCATAAAGTTGACGTGCTTTCCCACGAATCTACTGGCTAGTGAGACAATAATATTTATTATTTGCGTATCCTTGTGCCAAATGTGACCTAGAAAGTTTGTAAATCGCCCTGATTTTTAATTTGGGCAGTAAGAAAGTTCTAACCTGCATAATGAATGAAAGTAACTTCAGCGCTTACGTGTCATACAAAAGGAACTTTTTTGGCCGCTTTTTGTCGCCTGCATTAGAAATACGCTATGGAAAATTTACATGGGCTGAATTACAAATTTTGGCGCTGCCGTAGTATGTGCAACAAGATGGCGGACACCGAAACGTAGTATGTGTAATAGGTTATGTTTAGATCATAGTTTTATTCTAATTTTTCTTATTATAGTTCTATTACCAGTTCGGGGACTAGCCAAGTGACTCCCGTAGTGTTGGCACCTGAAATTACGACCTAACCTTAATCTGGTACCCGTACTACGTTCCGGTGCCCGCCATCTTGGTGCATATACTACATGAGTACCCAAATTTTAGCATTTCTCCTATCAAATTTATCTGTGTCCGTCAAACGGAAGGCAAAATGGACAACAGTCGCTAATATTTAATTGTCATCGCTGTTTTTCGCTAAAAATACTGTTCATAATAAAACTATATAATAACGCCCGCGTTTATGTAATTCCTATAATTTCTTTGAAACACAGATGCTGCCTGAAAACAGGAGGATCTAAGAAGAATTCATCTGTGCGGTAAGGAGAAATTAATTTGAAATTTAAAAAAAAAATAAAGAGTAAAAATTCTACTACGAGTTATGGGGGAAATAAACCAAGCTCGGCCTTCTTTGTATCAAAGTCGTAGTTCAAATTTACCGAATTAGGGGGTTGAACCCAGAGTCCGGAATTCCAGATTTCTGAAACCTAGCCAACATTTGCAAGTTAAGTTCCTAAGTCATCGAGACACTTGCGTTTACTAATGAGGAGTATGATCTCATTTTTCTATAATGCTCAACAAAACCGTTCAAAATAAATTCACTTATAATTCAAAAAACATTATAGTACGAAACGTTTTATATACAAGCTCTGTCTGTAGCGTTTTATGGAGTTGTGATCCGCTACCTCGGTTTGAGTATGTATACCTGACCTACAGTTTCTAAATATGTTTATAATATTTCATTTTCCAACAGGTCAGTAACGACATATCCTCTCTTGTATGACAACCATCACGTGGCAAGGCGACCGCTGCCGAAGGCACCCAGTTTCAACGCAAGATCGCGACCAACAACCAGTGAGGAAGTGAGATGGACTAACGGAGGCGTATACGGCCTTGGCAGCAATCGGTCAAGTTTTATATCTTTGCACAGCCAGTCCATCTCAAATAACAACTCATTTGACACAGCACTAACTACTCTGCAAAGTGATATCACATACAAACAAGATGGATTCTCAAAATCCAGTACAACACGAGGTTCCAACTCAAAACTTCAACATTCACAGCGATCAAGAAGTTCGTTGCACAGCAGCAGAGCAGGAACGCAGGGTCAACAACCTGTCCGGCGGTATGGAGGACATCAAAATCTACTTGCCAGTTTCAAAAATAGCAACAACACTATACAAAGATCTAATTCTGCCTTGAATGAGTCGCAGTCTACCTTACAGAGTAGAAGAGAAAAGATGGAGGCAAGGAGGCTACGTAGGCAGAAACGCAGGAGTCTTGTTAGGCCCGAAAGTGCAATAATCTCAACATCGATTCGAGAAGTGAACGAACGTCCGCGAGCGTTGCCTCCAGTACCCAGAAGAACTTCAGTTTCAAAAAACCGTTGTCAGCAATTGAAAAATCAACAGAAAAACATTACTTCTAAATCTGGAATTAATTGGTCTCATAATGCTTACTGTGAAATCGATCCCGGTTTTCCAATTGAAACATCAGAATTTGTAGAGAATATATTGTATAGAAAGCATATTGCTCAACAAAAAGTAGACTGTTCCACTGTTACAGAAAAATTATTAACAGAATCAACGATTAGCCCGGATGTGAGTGAGTTCACAAAAAGAATTTGCGATAGACTGGTTCAACTTCATAGTGCTACCCCTGACAATAAAAGCAACAATGCAGGATACAATAAACAACCACATGATGAATCTGGCAACGGCGAATGTGTCAAAGAACTATTTATCCGTAACGGAAATAATTCCACGGAGGTCAAAGTTGAGAGTGCCTATCCGGCATTGAATGTTGATTCACCTTTAATTACAGCTGGATCCAAAGAAAAATTAGACAAATTATACAATGAACTAATACAGGACATGAAGGAAAATGAATTGACTCGACCAAAGCCCGCAAAACTGAACGGGTACGACGAACTTGAATTATGTACGAGTGGCGAAAGTGCAAGTGAAATATCTTGTAAAATTGAAACAAAAAGTGAAGATTCTGCGACGAATTATGACACAACATCCGACGATACAAAGAAAAAGGATAATTGTATTTTACAGCGCAAAAACAGCTCCGACTCGCTTTTTGTCGACATGAGTAGCGTCTGTGATTCAATTACCACTGAGGACGACATGGGGTCTATCGGTGGAGAAGAAGATTTTGAAATTTTTTACCCGATAGTGGAATCAAGGCGAACTTATCCACTTGGCGCTTACGGTTCAGATCAATATATCTTAGATTCTTTGCGAAACCAAGAAGAAGACGCAAAAGCGGCAAAAGAGCAAGTACACCATACCGCCCCTGGTGGCCTCGAGCATCTGACTGTTCCGCTTTCAGAAATTTCCACAGACGACGATGATTCTCACGCTCATCTCCGGCACCAAGTCGTCAAGAAGAGTAGAAATTCGTCGTCTGGCTCGTTGGCCACTGTACTATCCAAAACACCAGATGTTAAAAATGATGTTTTCGTTTATACAATGGCCGGCGAATCCACACCTGACTCTTTGCCTGAAGTGTTTGCCAGTAATGAGAAATTTCAACAACCAGACTCGGGATATGAAACGGTCAAAGTGAATGACAATGAAAGCTTGGAAGGCATCGATGAAAACGTTCTTGGGAATGACCACAGGTATCAGCATATCCAATACATGTATTCTGGTCATAGAGTAAAAGATACTCCACTAAACGACGTCTTCTTACATTCAAGCAGACAAGAAACTGGGTCTCCTCACCAAGTTTTTCCGCAATATACTGAAGACAAAGAGACAAATAAATTGCTAAATATCACTGCTAATACGAAAAACGAACGACATTACCATTTCATTGACTTTGACAATGACATTGAGAAAACCAACAATCAAGAAGAAACGTCATCCAATGGTCAAACAAACGCTGTATCAAAAACTACAGGCAAACGTCACAGATTATATCATTCCATCGATATGGAGGCATCTAAAAATGCTAAGAAACTTATTCCGTTTCCACAAAATGTACCCAATAGAAATCATCATTACACAAAGCATCAGATTAAGGACAAGGGAAAGAAAAAAATTACAGACAAAACTAGCACCACTACGAGTCAACAGAAAGCTTTTCGCAAAGACGCAAGTAACTTCACGGCAGATGAAAATGCTATTTCTACTTACAAAACACCGATGCCTAACAACCAACGAGAGTCGGAATCGATGAAATCACCCACACAAAAGACTTGCCTTATAAAATTAGACCACAATAAAAATCCAGTAGTACACATGATTACACAGAACCAAATAAACTGCGACTCAATTGGTATTACACAAAAAGCCAAACAGAAACCAAGCAATATAATCATGCTAGATCATATTGAACATAGACCACGACTCTCCACAAATGAAAAGCTTAAACGATCATCAAAAGTCGTAGGGTATTTTGAACCAGTAGAATCGTCTCCAGATGAAGTCACAGACGAGGAAGTTTTTGATTTGGGAACTTTGTAAATGCTAGTTTTGCCTTTGATGTGGCAGTACTTTCATTTAGCTATTATTGCTGTTATTTATCAAATTGACGCATATATACTCTTTTCAGCGTCGCGTTGTGAAATAATTATTAATTTTTCGAATGCAGATTTTAGAATTATATTTTTGGGTTCATACTCAGTTAGAGCTTTCAAATATGAGAAAAGCACCCATATTCTCAGTTAACAGATTACAACGTGACATATTTTGAAGTAATTCAAAAAACTTAAACATATATACTACAAATAATCATTGCTTATCTGAAAACTTTGGCTACGGTTTTTGTTTTTCAATACATTCTAATATACTTGTATATAAATATTTACAATACATTTTTCATGTCAACATTTTGCTTTGTGCATTTCATAACTATATAAAGAATATTTCACTATTTTCGTCAATTTTAATCTTCCTACTTTGGTTTACTCGCGAGTTAATAAAAGAAATGTTTTCAGCATGAGAAACTTATAAAATTCAGAGGTGGGCAAAGTTTTGTTTTGCAAGAATCGCATAAGGAAAAGATCCTAATTTTTTTCTCCGACTGCAAGAAATTTGCTTTGGCGTCACAGTTCCTATTCCTATTTGCTATGATAAGGTCGTGTTTAATGTTGGCTGACATCGTTGAAGCGGCAATGAAATGGGAACATATTTTAACAATTCGTAATTTATAAATTCTGAATCATTTCGATATTAAATCTAAATTCTGTATGTAATTCTTCAAATTTCTCCAAGAGTGGAGGACTGCACAAAATGCGGGACGGGACGTTGTTTGCTCATCCTAGACGTGGTAAATCGTTTACGTTCGTTTTGTCAGTTATCGTGTGCGTGATGCACATGTTCGATAAAACGATGTATCGAGAAATACAAAATGAAAGAGATTAACCAAAAAGAGCATAATATCGATAAATGAACTGTTTCCATTATCTGAAAATATAATTAAGCGAAAAATAGCGCCTGTGAGTTTTAGGAACAAGTTGACGATTCTGAGTTCACATGTACAAGATGTGCTGGCTCGAAAAAAAGATTTCTCCATCTGACGGAATAATAACTATTACAAATATGAGTACAAACCTTCACATTGTACAAAATTGTCCATGTTGAGTCCTTCATTGACGGGACAAACATTGCAAAATGTTTTTCCCATTTCATTTTGAAAAGATCCAACGGGACATAGACGACACGGAGTGAATCCATCAATCGAAACGTATCCAGGTTTACAAAGTTCTGTATGAGAATGAGAATGTAAATGTGAAAACCAGCAATGCATTGTTGAAAAACTAGACGGTTGTAATTACGGAGCGCGCAATTCGGTTTGTTATTTTTAATATTGTTGTTTGAAGTGAGGTCAAGGCCAAAACTTATTATCAAAAGACAATGAAAATCACTACTTAGGCATATTACCATTAGGTCATAAAAAGTACGAACGTACAACAAGAAGTAGAGAAACGAACAAATTTTCTGATCGCAATCTTAACTCGATCAACTTAATTTTGATGTAGCAACTAATCAACCAAAGAACGTTTTATTAGCAGTACAATCTACCCCATTTTTGTATTATCAAACAAGCATACCAACAATCCACACTGTGATTTACTAGAACTGAAAAAAAAGGAATCGGGACTTTTGAGACAAAACAATAGCCACTATTTATTTCATGCCATGACCTAACTTAAGTAACATAGCTGATAAGTAGGTAATGAAAATCATAAAACAGGTAGATACCTCCACAATCATCAGCAGAGTTAGAAGCTCGACCAACGGTGCCTGTTCCAGTCGGACATTTTCCGCAAGATGTCGCACCATAGAAATCAACAAAGGTGTCTTTTGGGCAAGATTTACAAACTTCGATTCCAAATTCTGAGAAAAATCCAGGCTGACACAAATCTGAATAGAATAAAGTGTGTTGATATTGAAATTTAAATGACTTAAGATTTTTGGTCATGTCTAGTTAATACTCTTGTTTCCTAATTATTGTTAACGGTGGATCAGATTCGAAGAAGTCAGACTATAATTAGTTAATTTGCTCGTGACAAAAATGCAACATAACTGAAAACCAGATTGAGAGAATCATAAATAATTTTTAATAAATTGTTGTTTTTATTCAGTGCCTAGAACAGTGGCTCTCAAACGATGGGGCACGCTACAAAGGGCGCATATCTCTACATATCTTTATTGGGTGCTCCCGAAGTATGCGAACCAAGATGGCGGACATCGGAACGTAACATGGGTAACAGGTTAAGGTTAGGCGATAATTTTTTTCCAATTTTCCTTATTTTAGTCCTATTATCAGTTCGAAGACTAGCCAAGAGCCTCCCGTAGTACTTATACCTAAAATTATGGCCTAACCCTAACCTGGTACACATATTACATTCCGAGGTCCGCCATCTTGGTTCGCATACTTCGGGAGCCCCCTTTATTGTATAGAGATTGCAGAGCCTTGTTGTGCTTGTATCATTGTTATACTTACTATTTGTTATTTGTAGATTATTGTTAGCTACTAGAGGGCGCGGCTTAAAAAGTTTGGGAACCACTGGCCTAGAAAGGTATCAGATAAAACACATAAATATGACCAAACAACATTATGTTGTTATCCAGTCGTCGGTTGGTTGGTAACGGTAGGTTATCTTTATTTTTGCGGTAAGAGTATGTATGTTTTATATAGCGCCAACATAGTGGATAACTGGAATAGTGGACACTGTGCTACACATGGTTACCAATACACCCGAAGAAAATTTTTTATTCATGTATTTTTAAATTCTATAGCACATGTCAAGTCGGGCCATCTTTTCTGTTTTTTTTGTTTTTTTTAAATGAAAGGTTTCTATCTCTTCTTGATTTTTTCAATAACTATTTGACTTTTTCATTGTATTTTAATTACTTTTAGACTTTATCACGGGTGTCGCCGCTTGATAACCAGTATTGGTTTCTCGCGACTCCTTTCACCCCAAATTATCCGACTTTGTTTCTTTTTACATTCTGTATTCATTTAGTGTATTTCAGGTATAGTGAAAAAATAAACTACTGATTGCTGAAAAAATTACAGGGATCAAAGTATTCTACCTTTACAATCCGCGACATCTCTTGAATGTATCCCTTTCGTCATTGTACGTGTAGGACAAGGTTGGCAACTCAGCTGGGCTTCGTGATCTTGGTAAAATCCAATCGGACAACTGATACAATCAGCTGAAATGACGTCATAGTAGGTGCCAACGGGACAGTTGACTAAGAAAAGCAAAAACGTTCATGAGATAAGATAAAATACCTGACAAGAAAGAATGAGAAATTTAGCTCAAATGCGGAGTGGAAATCTTCAAAAAAGTATTAAGTGGAACATCACATTAGTTGAGTCTCAACTTAAAAATAAATGGTTCTGAAGTGACCAGGAAATGTTCCATCGACAGTCGCGAAGCGCAAGAATTGTGTCAATTGAAGAAAGTCTCACTCTTCCTCCAAATATAGAATACCTATTTACCGCTTATTCAATGTTTATAATGATTATGGAAATACACAAAAGTTCAACCTTAAAAAGTATCTTTTAAGCTGAAACATAGAGCAACATAAAATTGCCTAGAAACTGGTGACTACATCGTTATAAAACCAGTATACAAAGCGCGGTATTGCGCGCAACAACGACGTAACGGCATAGTTTACGTTACGTTTAAACCATCTTTCATCAACTCACCACAAAACGCACGACTCTTCTGTATAGTACCGATTGGACATAAGAGTTCGTCTTGTGTTGCAGCGTAAGTACCGTCCTGATATGTTAAATATTCGCTGATAGTTGTGTTGATGACGTTTATTGACAATGTTCTGAAAATAAATTTCAATTTTTGCAAAATTTCGCATTCTCTCAACTTTTCGAGTTAAATTTTAAAGAGGTATATCTATTCTATTGTAACTATCAGTTGAAATTATGTAAGACTAACTACCTTTCCTTGCTCTATGCCTTTGTGGAAGTGGATCCGTATGCATGAACGCAAGGATGCTGTGGCAAGAATAAAGATGACTATACTATATATTTGAAAGTCTTGCTGCACACTTGAAATAATAATCTTTTTATTGGCTGTTATATTTTAAGGTCGGCAAATGACATGATGATAATTGATAAGATTCTAGCTCATCAAAAACGTTATAGATTTCCATGCACCAGTGTCTGCTTTTCTGTCGCCTTGTTCGGGGCGAAAGTGTATATTACCCAATGAATGTTCCCCGAACCCTGACTCGAAAAAAATTATTTCTGTATATACTCCACATTTAAGAAAATTTCCATGCTCGGTCTGACAGCTAGGCCTTGTTTTTCTAAGCGTTTTTAAGACTAATTTTTGATTTATGCAAATAAACTAAAACTTCTTGGAAGAAAAATGAATATTGAGTTATTTTTGGTATCACAACTAAATTGAAAAATTGAGAGCGAAACCACGAAACAACCAGTTCATGTTCACAGTCATGCCTGAAAATTTGCCTGGGTGACAAAGCCCTCCGTTGCTAAAATTTCAATTGTTATTTCACCGTTGACATCTTACTGATTAGCAAGTGTTACGGAAGTGAAAAAGGAAGTGGATGTTCGAGAAAACATTTATTGAAAGTATTCCAAAAGATTACACATATTAGTTAACTTCTAGAGTTTTCATATTTCAAAATTACCTTGCTTTATTCTCAAATTCAGTGACTGTATCCAAGTTCCGAATAAATTCAACCATTCGTCCATGTCGCATCCGGTCATCTTCAATTGTTCTACCTTCCAGAGTAACATCCCCTGGTGATTATGGATAAAGCATATGTAATATTCCGACTCAATTACTATAATGTGAACTTGCGTGGGTTTCAACATTTTTAACGCAATTTGCTGAAGAAATAAGAATCGCCACTTCCCCATCGATAGACATATATCAATGTCCCAGTAACGTCGTGTCCCACTTATCCACCAATGGTCCCACTTGTCCAGATTGTTCACATTTGTTCCATATGCCATATTTACCCTCAAATTTGTACCACTGTTCTGAGTTTTTCTAGGCTGGGAGGAAATAATGCTTAGAAAAAATTTTGCGACAAGTGGAACAGTTGTTGGGCATGTTGGCAAGTGTTGACAGGTGTGGGACAATTGTGGGATATGTGGGAAGTGGGATAAGTTTCTATATTATATATATATTGTCTATTAATAATTAGTCGTTTGGTAATTATTTGTCCAATAAAATAAGAATTTGGGCATCACTGACTTTTGATATGATTTTCAAATAAAATTGTATTATTGTCATATTTTTGCAAAATATTCAAACTTGTATATATGTGTCTTGCTGCACACGAACACAAATATAGACAGTGGGAAATATGGGACAGTGCCAGAACAATAATAAAGATAAGTTTGATTTAAAATCAATAGATATCCCACAGTTTAGTGAGTGACAATTAAAAAGAAAATTAATTAAGCGTTTTAGCAGGATTAAACAAATTCATGCTGTCATCCCGTAACTCCGACTGTGGTGTCGCCCAAGGTCATTTAAGGGTTATGGCTACAATGTAAGGAAATGACTCAAACCACGAAATAGAAATCAAGTGTAAGTGACAATGAAATGTAATGTTCAAATTAGCATAAATTGTGAATTTATCCAACTCTTAAATTCATCCCTAGAGGTTCTAATGTTTTCAATTTGTTAATAGCATAGTTTTCTTTCGTTTGCCTGTATATTTGATCTCAATATAGTTTTTCTATTCCGGTTACCAAAAAGTCGATTCCGATTACTAAAAGAAAAACTATATCGACATCAAGTATATTTATCTGAAGAAGTCTGACTTCGGTCAGACGGAACGTTACAAAAATATATTTGTGTTCGTGTGCAGCAAGACTCTTGAATTGAATAGAATAGCCATTTACACTCTCGCTACAGCATCTTTGCGTAATACGCATACGGATCCACCTGCACAAAGGCATATAGCGCAAGGAAAGGTAGTTAGTTTCGCGCAACCTCAACTGTTAATTGTATATATGTACTCAAGTTTTAAAATGTATCAAAAACCTTTCTAACCTCTGATAGTTAGGGTAACTTCAAGTCTCGAAAGCGACGGAATTTTCTCAATTTTATCCAAGACATTCACTGGCACAATGTCGGACATGACTTCCTCAATAGCGCTTGTTACGTCATAATTGTTTTCTCTTCATAATCCGGTACCCTTTCTCCACCGTAGTCAGATTCGCTCGGAGCCGATTCTGCTTCGAATAAGGTATCCAATGGTATAGCTTCACCGCCTTCATTTTCGACTGGATTATCAGCCCTGAATAAAAACGGTATTTTATTTTTACTTTTGGCTCGCCTCATTTATTATGTAGATGGACTTACCATATGTCATTGCATCAGAGTCTATTTGGGGTAGAAAACCCAAGTTTGAATTGTGTAGGATAAGATAAGTTTTACATGTTTTCCCGGGGCAAAGGGAAGTCGATAAGACAGCGAAGCATGGACTTGATGGCAAAGGAAGGCGTAACTGACCAGGGGTCACGTGAGCCACCCTGAGACGCGAGGAGTACAGCAATCCTCTTGCACATAACTATCCTCACGTAGAATTCGAACCTGCCAACCCACGCAGGGTAATCAAAGGTGCGGTGGAGAACGTATTCCTAACTCTTAGCACGGTGCGCCACATCGTCGAGCATTCAATGTTACAGTGGTTCGCTGCACAGTTCCCAGAAACATATAAAGTCACCACATTTTGATACAATTCCTATTTACACGTCGCAGGAATTTTGATTACATTACGTTATTCCAGGGGTTCCCAAACCAAGGGTCGCGACCCCAAATTGGGTCGGAGTGATAAGTGGGCAGGGTCGCAAACAGGTCATGGGGTCGGTGAAGTCGCTGAGGTATGGTAGAGGATGGGATATACAACACATCTAAGATTTGACAAACCATGTTAAATTTACCAGTTTTACCATGGCTTACTGTAAAACAAGTCCATAGGCATCGCTCTATCTATATGCTTATGCTATAGAAAATGTAGGTGCCTATTGTGATGTCACTGTTTGGTTTTAGCTTATTTTACTTAATACCACCACATGATCAAACTCAAAAGTCCAGTGAAAGAAACTCTAAAATTTCATGGAAAATATATATATTGACCTGGGGTCGCACTGAACACGTGAAAGTTGTTTTTGGGGTCGTCCTGACAAAAGCTTGGGAACCCCTGCGTTAGTCATTGAATCTTGATGTCCACAAATTTGAACATAGACCTCATATTTTTATATGTTTTAATGATCTTACCCATATCCATTCACATCATCACTATATGGGTAATCTTCACTTGCGTAATCGTCTTCACTATATGCTTCGCTATAATCGGCTTCTCTGCATATAAAGGAAAGAGGGTTATGATTAGTGTTTAAAAATTTCAAGAACGGGTTCTCTTTTGTGTCGAACTCACTAACAACAGGTTCCATCATTTCTGGGAACCATGACGAATTTACGACTCTATAACGATAACGATACAAAAGTATGCTAAAGAGAGGAAAGTTATAGGCAGTGATAGGTTCAAAAAAATGCAACGGGTTCTCTTTTGTATCGAACTCACTAATGAAACTAGATTCAAATGATGGCGTAGGAGTGAAAGCGTTGGATTTAGCTTTGTCGATATTGTATATTGAAAACCTCGGTTTCAAACCCCATAACCATCAAATGACCTACGGTGTTAACAATTGGGTATAGGCCTGCCGAAGCAGAAAAATTCCTGTCTTTTCAAACTAAAGTACCTCCTGCGTAGCAGTAGATGACATCAAACACCAAACCGAATTACTCGTTTGTTAGACTGAATCTTACCGTTTAGATCTTCGAAGTTTTCTGATGTGATCTTCATGTAGTCTGGGATTATTTCCTGTTGATCGTTTGCGCCGTCGATCTAAATGTTTACAAAAATTTTGAGGAATTTGAAAGATTGTGATTAGAATGGAAACACAGGGTACACATCATGTTTCGAGTAATTAAGTGAATTTTACCAAACAAACGTTGTATCTTACTATGACTTACGTTACATACAATGTCAGTGCAATAAAATAACTGACGGTATACCTACGGAATTACGACTACACCTGGAGATGTTATCATATCATTCAACTTTACAACTACAAATTACCATACGAAATCCGCTGCATATATGGTGGACTAATAGCCCTTTCTATTTAAATGACTATGAGGAACATATCCAAGCCCGCGACCCTGGCAATTCAAATAGGTGCTGTTAAAAATGGTGAACTTTATTTCCATTATCTTTGAGCGCACGTACATTTGTAAATGTCCATGGGTGCAAATGTTTATATGTGCAAATGTCCGCGGGTGCAATCTCTATGTGGGTGTTGAACTCAATGAGTGGAAATGTCTGTGGATGCAAATGTATAGGGGTGAAAATGTGCTGTCATCGGTGGGCTAGTCTGGCAGAATGCCTTGTGCATACGCAATGTGCGACAAAGGAGATAAGTTTGGGCTGATATATAGAGCCTCCTAGCCGTCAGGGTTCCCCAGTGAAATTGGGTGAAACGCATAATATTAGGGTGACAGAATAAGTCAAAAATTTCATCCAGGTCTGTTCAGTCGTCTGGACACTACAGCTGGGCAAACAGACAGACAGACAGACAGAACGACTGAGAATGAAGGTCTCCTTATATTAATACTTATACTATACTTTACTTATACTTATCTATTAATATAAGTATTTTGAGCAGTAGCTTGCCAGCAAATGTTTCTATCTTAAAGTACTGACATTTTGATTGGTCCATTAGTTGCGAAGAAAAAAATGTTTTCCACCAACAACAACAATTTTGCGAAACAATCCATCCATCCAGCCCTTTTTGGGCGATCAAGAATTGTGTGTACCAATATGGAGGTAAATAATTTTGTTCGCCTATTTTACATCAAGTTGTGTAAAGGGACTGAAACCTATGGGCGGGAGGTATATTCACTTGGCTAACACAGACAGTCCCCGAACTCGTATAAGAGCTGAACTAGGGAAAATCGGAATATATTATGGCCTAACCCTATGCACATTACGGGAGTACCCCTCTGTGACCAAAAAGTAAAATTACTTATTCAAAAATAATGTCATGTTATGCTAGGCCGTAATACCTTCATTGCCGTCACCAAGAGATCCATAATAATTGTAGTAATAACTGTCATCTCCTCCCTCATAATCATCAGCCTCGACTTTCGTTTTGTCTTCTATTTGTATGCATTTCACTATCACATCAACCAGAGTACATCTTAACCATGGGTGGGTAGAGGTTGCGCACCACTTTGCCACCTGTTTACAAAAAAGGATAGTAATCACAGAAAAAATAATGGTGAACTAAAAATAGAGTCCAAATCCCTAAACTGTCAGAAGTACTTTTTGATTCAAAACTCTGACACCACACTTTCACAATTTTTTTATTCTGAAACGCTTTGTTTGACAAAAGTCAGTCTTCCTCGGACAAGCTAAATTAAGTTGTGAAAAATAAATTTGAAAACGTGAGAAAGTGTGATGCAAGAATTTTAAATATTGGGGATTTTGATTCTTGCTTTGTTATTCTTACAGAGTATACATACCCGCTGACACGTTAGTGAAGAAAAAATGGGAGTAGTTAAGAAAATATTACCGTAATCAACCATTTTTGAAATAACATTATTAGAAATGATTTGTATCTCTTCTTCTACTTTCACAATGTTACTATATTAGTGCTCTTCAGCCAGGATTACATGGAACAAGCTTGGGGTATCCGTGAAAGTTTTTGGTTTTTAGTGGATTTTTTCAATTGTGTGTTCAATTTACCAATGCATATTAGTGTTAAACAGCCATTAGGAACAAAACAGTAGTCGCCTGAATAGCATTCATGTGTGAATATGAGAACCGCATTGAGCAACTGTATGATTTAAGACGTTTTGAGGGAAAGGCCCAAACCGAAGTACTCTATTATCATTAGTACTTGCACTTGTGCGTTATTCAGAATAATTCTACTCTTGGCTCACTCTGTCAGTGTAGATTTCCAGGAATAATTGTCGCACTGATTCAATAAAAACGCTGTCATTGCAATGTGTCATAGTCTCCATGGCGTAGATTACTTGATAATCTTTCAATATCCGACTTGAATACTTTTGTCCTTGAAAACGAGATAATTCTATGAGTGTAATATCCCATATGACTTCAAAAAAAACTTTGTAAAAGGTATTCTTTGTAAAAACAAAAAACTGTTTGACAAATTTTCTGTTCTTTGATGAACGTCGGAGGCTGACATAAAATTCAATTATATTATTCGTATTGTTCAAATAATTCGACTGCCAAAGAGAAATACGGTTCTTACTTGAGCAATCCATTGGTATTTTACTCGTCGGCATCCACTCACTAAGCTCCTCGTCACACGTAAATGTTGGGTTGTCGTATTCTACCCCGAATGGCATTGCAAAACCATACCTGTAAAAATAGTGTAATGACTTGTATTATAGTCAAATAACAATGTTTAGATTCAAAGCAAGTTATACATGGCGGGATATTGGAATCAGTGGCCTTCCCAAAAGGAGTTTCGTTAAGGAGAAGAGGAATTCAATAATTGACAAATTTGTAACGTCACAATTTGATGTCATATTTTTTTCACACCGTGAAAATCATTTGTTACGCCTTTTTGGATACTTCAGATGTGTTGATGTTTAAAGTAGGTGGTTGACATATATTTGTAAAATGTAAAATTAGGCAAGCAGACACAAGGGAAGGGGTTGTACGCTGTAATGAAGGGGAGGGGCATGGCCCCATCAGAGAATCGAAAAACTAAGTGAGGACGTATAAAAATTTGTACAAGCCTATTTTCTGATAATTATATCTTTACACTCAATTTACGTTAAAGATGTAAACAACTAACTTATAACTAAGCTAAACTATAAACCCAGCTGCCTTAAACTCACCTTTCTGAATCGCAATGCATTGCACATTGTGTTGCTTCTCTTCTTAATTGACATTCAATATATCCATGTCTAGGATTCTCAAGTCTTGGGCATGTGTTATCTAAATGAAAAAATGAACGTTTTTTTGCATATTTAGGTCACTATTTTTATCGTAGATAATGTTTCATATATGTGTTTAAGGTCCATGATTTTGGCCAACATCAGGGGTCTGTAGACTTTTTAGTTGGTGTGAGAATAAACTAAGGATAAATAAAGCGAAAGCAATCAATTAACTAGAACAACACGCCAACCCTTCAATCTGCAGCATAATGAGCTCATTGTAAACATTGTGGGAATAATATCATCCGTGCCATTACTCCATGGTATTTTTAATGCCTTTGAATGTTGGATTAAATATATTCTTTAGACCTGCTAAAACGTGGAAGCTCTCAAACATGAACAAAAAAGAAAACCTAACCCTTTTTTTTTTCAAAGTCAGGGCTTGTTCAAAGATGTGCATGTTTCCTATGAGGCATTTAAACTTTACCTTGAACAATGATATCAATCACACAATTTCTTTCATTCTCTGCTTCATCCGTTGCCAGATATTCAACCTTTGTTACACCGAGTGGAAATGTACCGAAGGTTTGACTACTCATTATTGTAACTTTTCCTGTATTATATATGGAGTATATTCGAGAGTGAAATAACAAATACAGAATAGGGTAAAAATGTCCATAAACATAACCAATTTGAGTTATCGTGGTAAAAAAAATTAAACAGTTTCCAATGCAATACCTGGAGTGAAATATATTCATTTGGGATAAAGAAATAGCAATGCTCATATACATGGATACGAAGGTTGTGCGTCATTACCGTTACGGTAAGTCATGAGAGCACCTAGTTTACTGTAAAGATTGGCTGACAAGAGGTACTGATTGAAAATGTGTTTCCCTTCAATTTAAATAAATAGCAAAAATTAAGATAAAATATATAGTTCCATACGAGCAAGGGCGTGTTGAACATTACTGATGGAGGGTGAACAAATTGTAGACGTAGTTATACAGAGAATAAATAAACCAAAGGTTAAGTAAGAGTGAAATGTTTGTATTATTTTATTTAAATCATCAAAATCAACAACAAACTCCCTCCTATAACGTGCTGTCCGGGGCGGGGCACCCATGCCCACCTCTAGACAAGCCCCTACATACGAGACAGAGGAAATTTGAAAAAAATCGAAGTAATAAAACTGATAGCTTTCAGTGACTTCTTTCACTTTTAAGTACTAATTTCAAGTGAAAGAAAGCGTTATTTCTTGACAACAACAATAGGGAAAACCCTAAAGGCGACAACAAGAATTCAGAAACACAATCTTTATGTACACTTAGTATGCAATAACGGTACTGATAAAAAAAATAAAAAAAAATATGAAAAATTGAAGATTAGAAACGGCAAGACGTACAAATACGCTGCGGAATTTATTAGTATAATTGATTAGTATAATTAATTCACGCATCATGGTCCGGGCATGAAGATTCTTTCACACTCACTATAAAAATACAGTACCTGAATTATCAGAAAACGTTGGTTCTTTCCATTTAGCATGACGTACTTCTGTGTCTCCAGGATTAATTACAAATGGTTGTGGCCCTCTGCAGTTGTCTATCATTGGTGGTTCAAGATCTGGAAAGAAAAAATGGTCGCTTATTTCGTGTCCAAAATTTTGCAAATCGGAATCGCAAATTTCGAATTTTCAATAAAGAAACTGAATTATTTTGTAATAGTAATAAGGCAATATACACACTTCGAGTAGCGTTATCAGGTGAGGTGGGGCCTTTTAACCCTCGAACCATATTTCAGCAAACTGGTTTTATGACGTGACATTTGCCTTTTGCGTCATGTATTTGTGACTTAAAGATTTGGTAGTACCTTATCATTGCCATATGGAAAAGGAATTTACTCTCTATACTTTTTGGTACAAAGTATTTATAAATTAAGATCCATACCTCTTACGGTCACTGTAAACTGACATTCTGTTGAAAGTCCGGAAGAATCTGTAGCGACGTAAGTTAGACTATGAACACCGATTCGCACTGATACGGGAAATGTCCAGTTAGGAGTGACAGATACCTGAATGTATGAATTAAACAAGTTTTCAATGATTTTGATCTTCTTCGTTATCGCCCAAATCATCCTCAAACCTACGGTTGCATTACCGGCGTACGGGGTTTAATTAGTCTATGTTTAATGCTTATTTTTTCTTGTGAAACTTCAATGTAAAAATTAATATACCCAACAGACTTTATGACGTATTGAAGTAAAAGAATATTTGAATTCGACCGTCAGTACCATTGAATAGCACTAAAAAAGTATGAGGTGATACATATAATTGCACTCGATTACCATGTACCAGAATAATCACAATCAAGAACAAATAAAAATCATTTGAAAGCTACCTCTCCAGAATTATCTTCCGCGAGTGGGAGTTGCCATGTCACATCAGAGTAAGGTTTCCGTATATTTGTTGTAGCAGTGACATCTGGCGGACACGAAATTGTTGGCGGTAGAGTATCTAAAATGATTTTAGGTTCGATTGAGTCTTTCCGTTTATTTGTTGAGGCATATAAAGAATACATGCAGAATACTGAATGCACTAACTTATATCATATATAAAGTATGATCAATATTTGTTCTGCTCGAAATGAATTTGATGCGAAGTGCTTATGATATATATAATAATAACAAAAAAAACTAAATCCCTCACCGTTACAAATCACTAAATCTTCGTTGATGATATTTGGAAACCAACGTCCGTTTTCAGCACAAGTTACAGTTTGTGGAGCAACTAAATCATATCCTTTGTCAAGGCAGTAGAACGAGCATTCATCTCCGTATTTTGACTTTGTTTCATGATCACAATCTCCACTAAACATTCCATGCTGTATTTCGGGAATTGCTGGGCAGGTGATTTCTAGAAATATATTAAACAATGTAATATAATATAATAAAAAGATAATTTTGAAACTCGATTCTCAGGAATGGGAAAAATTCAAGAATGATATAAAACATCAAGCAAAAAGTCACATTAGCACACAGAAGAAAATAAAATCAGAATTGATTCTCAAAATATATATTTCCCGGGCGGAGAGAAGCCAGTAATAATTTGAAAATGGTCACGCAAATTAATCTAGAAATTGAGTAATAAATTAAGAATAGAAACGTACGTAAAAAAAGTAAAGATAAACAAAAATCACAGCAGTTGGATGAATAATTTGTGAAGGTGAAAAAAGAATCTTAATTTAAGTTTTAGGTTGAATTCCTCAGATTTTAAGTGTCAGTGATTGAGTCGATTACGTTGATTTTAATCTAGCATTTGAGTGGTGCATAAAACGAATTAATATTAATCTTCAATTAGGTGTTATACAAAACGACAGACATGGAAAAGCTCGAGCCTATAACAGGACTCTAGTCTTCTTTTTCAAAAACTAGAATCTGTAGAATGCAGTGTCTTGACTCAGCTTGGGACTTGAATTTAAATTTTGCTGGTACTCAATACGTACGAAATGATACGTTCGTTAATGGACTTGGCGACTTTGTATTTAGCAAATTTTACCAAAGAATATAAATAGATATACAACCAATATTTTAGAAGCAAGTGACTTGTGTCATTGTAGAAGTCTGGATTCAGCTCAAGTCGCTTCCAAAGTGCCAAATCGAGTCGATTTATTTCAAATGTTTCATATTTAGCTCAAGTGTTGTTTAATCTTGTTTAGTCTTGTTCAACCAGATTGTCACCTCAACTTGAATTAAGAAGTTCGTGTCACAGTAGTAACTGACCTTTACAATACGCCTCCCTTCCTGTCCAGTGTCGATCAGCTTCACATAACCTGCTTTCGGAACCTTGTAGAGAAAAACCTTCAATGCATTCAAATGTACAGACTGTTTTGTACGAGTTATCTTCACTTGTGCACGACATAATCCCATGTTCAGGTAAAGACAATGGTGAACAATATCGAACTGAAAAACAATGTACATTTTCACTTATTGGGTAAGTGGTGGAATGGTTATATGGTCCCAAAAGTACCACGAACGTAAATTCGATATTAATTTATTTATACTTATATGGCCTACATTCTATTACCTTGGCAATACGACATTTCTAATTCTTCTTCATTCAATGCACTCCAATATCCATCAGCTCCACATATAATCGTTTCCGTTCCTTGCAAATCGTAACCCTTGTCACAAGATGTCGTACAAGTTTGTTTATACCCGCCATCACAAGCGAGAAATCTGCCGTTATCAGGAGGAAAGATGCCTTCACATCGAATAGGCTCGCATGCGTTGTTTTCCTGAAATAAATATAAATCTATGAATTACAAAAAAATGTAAATAAAAACTTTTGGTACACCCGGAGTATGCGAACCAAGATGGCGGACACCGGAACTATAGTATGTGTGCCAGATTAGGGTTGGGCCATAATTTTAGGTACAAATATTACGGGAGTCACTTGGCTAATCCCCGAACTCGTAAAAGAACTAAAATAAGGAAAATTGAAATAAAATTATGGCTTAATCCTAACCTGGTACACATACTACGTTCCGGTGTCCGTCATCTTGGTTCACTAATTCGGGAGTACCGAGTTTTTGCTGCACACTTCATTACAATTAAAATTGAAAGTCAATGACATAGCCCAAAATATTAAATAGGATAGGATTTACAGGAGAAGAAGAAAGTCGATAATACGGCTTAATCACACGGCAAACCGCGGCCTGTCGCCCGGTTAGTGCATTAGTTAGCCAGATATTTGTTTACGGAAGCACGAACGTGATGGTGGAGCAGACATAGCCGACCAGCGAAGAGTCCAGCAATGCACATAATTATTCCCGCTTGGGATGCGAACCCACGCAGGGTAATCAGAGGTGCGGTAGCGATCGTGATCTTAACGCTTTGCACGATGCGGAACAATTTTATTTTTGTCATTCATAACCCTAACCAAATTTCAACCGTATGTAAAATATTTTACCCGTTGAAGAATCATACCTTATTAAATCCTTCAGTACACAGACATTGATCCAACGATGTTGAGGCTTCTGATGACGTCATTCGTGTATCGGGGCAAGGTAAGCAAGATTTTACACCACCGGGTACGGCTTCAGATTTGTAAGTTCCTTCTGGACAGGCTAGGTATCAAATGAAGCAATATGGAATAGTAATAAAAAGGTTTCATTACATTTGAACCCGCGTACATTTGAACCCATAATTTCAACCCACGACAATTGCACCTGCATACTATTGCACCTATGGAATTTTGATTTCTTTTTTACGGATATTTGAACCCATACTAACCCTAACCCATGGATTTTAGCACCCGCATATAGATTGAACCCGCGGATACGCGGGTGCAAATGTATGGGTTCAAATGTACGTGGGTTCAAATGTAAGGTCACCTAATGAAAATATAAAACCATACGGCTTGGGATGACTATAGAAACACAACACAACTGTCCTAATTTTTATGCGACGTCTTTTCGCGGATTTCGCTCTGGAAAAGTCTTTGTACAAGCATTCACTAATATCTGACATTATGTAAAGAGTTACTATTTTTAGAAGGATGGGAGTATTTCTGCTTCGGCACTACTAATCAACCTATTACACCCTGAGTGAGACGGTGGGTATGACATTTGAATCTAAGGTGTGTAACCTGCGATGCCATCACAGTTAAGTCTATTGTTCAAATTTTATACTCACGTAAGCAACCGTCGTCCGTTAGACCAGATCCATAATAGCCAGGCTTGCAGACACATTCATATCTCCCGGTGGACGTTCCGCATCGACAATCAGCAATACCATGGCAACAACTTGTCTCGGTACAGTATTTGTCGCAGTGTGAATCATGGTCGATGATGAAGTTTCCTGATTCCAAATCTGAAAGATTATATAATGATGGATAAGTAATAATAAAGAAGGAAGGCGTGGACAATGAAGGAAGGGAAAGGGAGAGAAGAGAATAAGAAAGATTATATATGTTCGCTGTTTCTTGACCGATTTCATGCAATGCTTGATAGAGAATGAAATTCGATTTTTTAAATAACAATTAATGATGTGCGATACTCTGCATTGACAAAAGTAAACATTAATGATGTGCAATACTCTGCATTGACAAAAGTAAACCTGTGGAAACACAATGCTTTGTTTTTGTTATACAATACATAATAGCAAATTAAACGGTACTCCCGTAGTGTGTGTACCGGGTTAGGGTTAGGCCATAATTTTATTCCGATTTTTCTTATTTCAGTTCTATTACGAGTTCGGGGACTGTTTGTGTTAGCCAAGTGAATCCCCCGCCCATAGGCTTCAGTCCCTTTACACAGATTGATGTAAAATGGGGGAACGAAATTAGTTACCTCCATATTGGTACACACACTCCTAGAGCACCGACAAAAGTACTGATTACTAGTGTCACCGAGTCTCTAGACATAGACTCGACTTCGCTTGGACCCGGGTCACCATATATCAAAGACTCGTGGTGACAGGAGTTTTCTATAAATTAAATAACTCAAAATCGGACTCGAATTGACACGTTACTGAGAGTTTAGAGATTTCTCACCAACACTCCTGATTATATTGAAAAAACATGAAGTCTGTTTGAAAGCTGATAAAATACAGAACACATTGGAACTTGGAAAGGATTGTCAAAGGAGCAAAAAACTCAAACAAAACAAAGGCAATTCGTTTTGCAACATTCTTTTTTGCAAAATTGCATATTCCCAACATATTCCAATAGCTTATTCAAAATACAATCGTCTCAAATTGTCTGCGATAAAAAATGAACAACGGAAATTTCAAGAACTCATCTACGTCACTGCATTACTGTACAGGAAATATTCATCGAATCAACATTCAAGATCAAACACCGAAGTGATTTTTCGATCGTGAGCTTTCGATCGGGTAGCGAGTTAAGAATGAGTATTAGATTTTAGGCGACAATCATATTCAATCAGAATGAGTTAAGACTGTCAGGTCAAGTTTATTTTTCCAACCAGTAAAAAAAATCATACGAGCACAAATTACGAGAAAACGATATTTACACAGATTTGCTGGGGAAGGGAAGTCACAGGGAACCAAAGCTGGTTATCGAGCAGCGATACCAGAGATTCTAATATGTAATCAAAAAGTTGGAATTCTAGAGTTTTAAAACTACTGATATTGATGGTGAGTACCGTATGAATTATCTAACTAACACCGCTTACCACTGAGTATTAGATTCGTTGTGTCAGATTTAGGCGCCAATCATATTCTATCACCATGTTAATTTGGTAAGTCATCATTTTCTATATTTGATTAATTCAATACGTTAAGCCCATTTGAATCGGGCTTACGTCGCGTTTCGCCCACAATTTTGAGCCAATTAAAAATTCCGTTGGTGATAGTCATTTTTGCGTGAGCGACTAATTTGCACCGACCAACGATTTGGACTTGTGCACGTGGAAGTATTGACAATTTAATTTTATTATTTGGATCGTTAGAGTCGATACCAGGGTTGTCCAAAACGAATCGAATATTCGAATGTATTCGAATATCAAAGTATTCGAATACCTTTTCGGCTGATTTTCGAATAATTCCGAATAGTAGCCACTTTTCGCCGTAAACGTGGTGTTTCGTTTTACGGGAATCTTCAAACGGATTTTTACGCTGTCTCGCGTATTGTAATGACGATGAATTAGAATCGGCACTTTGATTGTATATATTCTGTGCGACCGTACGTCGCATAGTGTTGCGACACATTTGCACGTTTGCGTGGGTGGACATTGCCGACATTCGTCTGCAAGGCTTCTAATTTACAAATTCATTTCCATTACGTCGAAAAATTGACATTTACTGTATTTCCCGGCTAATAAGTCGCTTTTCTAGGCCACGGAGATAAAGTGATTTGTGACCCTTTCATTTTGCCGATTCAGCAGAACACGACAGAAAAACACAGCTGTGAAATAACCCGTGGACGTACAGTGTATTACTTATCACATTCCAAAATTATTTCAACATTCTGGTTAATAGGTTGTCCAAAATGATTGCCGCTTTACAACTTAAATTTACCGCTCAATTGTTGAAAATAGTTAATTCTGTGAGTATGATATTACCAAACTAACATGATCTGGTTCTAAACATTTAAAATTATTAGCGCATATCAGCATAACTGAACAACAGGGACACAATTTTTCTACCCGTCTTTTTGGAGGCCTTTATGGAAAAAAACCTTTTTGGAGTGCTAAAAATAGACATCGTCCTATTTGCCATGTGGACTTATTAGCCGGGAAATACGGTATTTATAGCAGTCATTGTTACGATATCCAATAAATTGTCACAAGTTGGAAAAACAAGTCGATTTATTAGCAAATAATTTCTGGCAAATAATTCTGATAACGATACTTAAAAGTATCGATCATTTACCAGGATGATTTTTTGTTGCGCAAAATAATCCAATCCATGACTGGTACCAGCATTTAAAATGTCATGCCATATTAATTTAAATCTGTTCAACGTAACTCATGGTTGTATCGACAATCTGGGACATAAAATGTGTGGTAAACTGACCGATTTTATTAAATATTGATTCCTATTTTTATATTGATAAAATAATGAAAGTATTAATACCAAATACCACGGGTATTTGTGGACATGAAATACGTGGTAAACTGCCAACTATAATTTCGGATTCGTATTTACAAAAAATTAAACTATTATAATTCTAAAATGCAACGGCGATCTGTGACCTTAAAATTTGTGGTAAACTGCCCGATTTACCAACATTTGAGTTATGATAATAGAAATAAATTAACACGGTAAGGCATTTTAAATAGTGGTATGGATTCGAATATTTTGCGCAGCACAAAATCATCCTAGTAAAAAGTCCATACTTTTAAATACAAACCAATGGCAACCATTATCCAAATTAGTTCCCAAGAACGGGATAAAATATAAATTCTTTTTCCGACTTGTGACAATTTTTCGTGAGTACGAACATGAGAATCAAAAACTAATTATATTCGGCACAATATCACGGCAATCTGTGGAAATAAATTGTGTAGCAAACTCGCGATTAATATTAATTTTTGATTCCTATTTTCGTATTTACAAAATACAACGGCGATCTGTGGACTTAGAATGTGTTGTAAACTACCCGATTATAAATAGTTTTTGATTCCTATTTTAATATTTATAAAATAATAAAAGTAATTTTACTCAAACATACAACGGCGATCTTCGGACTTAAAATGTGTGGTAAAGTTCCCGAATATAATTATTTTTTGATTCGTATTTTTGAACTCACGAAAAAATTGTCACAAGTCGGAAAAATAACTCATACTTTATCCCGCTTTTTGGAAAATAATTTGGATAATGGTGGGTATTTAAAAATATGGGCGTTTTACTAGGATGATTTTGTGTTGCGCAAATATTCAAATCCATCATCGATACCACTATTGCCGTATTAATTTAATTCTATTAACATGACTCATGGTATATAAAATATATACTGCAATAATCTGCAAATATGGAATGCCTGGTAATATAGCTAGGTTGTAACTTGTAGATAGCAAGTATTCCATTGCTTATTGTATGGAAATTCCTACATACATTTAGATAAGCTTCAATTAATGGATTTTATTTTCGAAGTATTCGAAATTTCATATTCGAAAAAAATAATTTCGAATGTATTCGAAATAGTGAACTATTCGGTTTTGGCCATCCCTGGTCGATACTAGTTTAGGTGTTGTCTGCTTGAAATAGTAACGGGATTGGTGATAACCTGTAAAATACATACTGTTTTCTTAAATGAGGCAAAGTCATAGAACTCGAGGAAAAGTAGAAATACCCAAAAACCAAAATATGCTTTATTTAGGGCGCTCCAGAAGAAGTATGTGTAACAATATGCAGGTAACTAATTTTATTCGCCCACTTCACATCAAGTTGTGTAAAGGAACTGAAACCAATGAGCTGGGGGTATATTCACTTGGCTAATACAGACAGTCCCCGAACTCGATATATATCGAAAATAAGGGAGATTGAAATAAATTTATAGCCTAACCCTAACCTGATACACCTTATTTAGACTCCGGAAATATCTAATTATTTCAAAGCTCATTTCTGATTTATCGAATTGTTTTGCATTTGATATAGTTTATGAACCATTTTTGTATGAATCAGATCAATACCGCTAAAATGCGGTCGAAACTGCTTGAATTTTTCAATAGCTTTTCTTGTAATATTGTTCCACTTAGTTGCATATTTGTTAAATTTATTTGTCGAGACAAAGAAGTAAGGACAGCAAATATTGATTTTTAAATCGATGGTAATTTACGCATTCGGGTCATATACGGCATTTAATAAATCACAGCAGAAAATTTTGAAAATCATACTTTTTTGTTTATTTGATTAAAGCTTAGTAATAATTATTTCGGGTTGTATTTTTATCTGCTATATCTCATGCGCTACAAACCTTTTCGGAATTTTCTACGATTATATTATATTTAGGAATAGGGGTAATATGTTAATAACCGATAAATTAATAACGCAAGATTTCTATTCTTATGTGAAACTTCCATATTATTAATGCTTTGAACCACTTTAGCAAAATGAACCAGGCTCCTGGCAAGTATGAGAAGCTAGTGAAATTTGGAAAAACCTTTCCGTCACGAAAGGGCAGGTGAGTGAGGACGTCGGGTGGTAGTCTAGAACGTGGCTGGCTTATATTCTAACTTGTCATCTCAAATCAAACTTGCGATAACATAATACGAGTGTTAAAAAAGTTACGCAAAAATCAGGGTAAAAGATTTCGTCATGGCAACCTTAAAAAAGTAACTGCTGAAAAGCGTCAGTCCTGAAAAGTTTAAATGACATTGCACCGTAATTCAATACTGTTAAAAGGT